TATCTCTCGCGATCCAACTCCATGAGTTCGTCAAAGAAAAAAAAAATAGGGCATTCAAATGCCATCTCAAAGGCTTCCGGACAGAAAGCAGTACACAGAATACTGTGGCGTTTAGCTAAATATATCCGGGTACTCAAACTCGGTGCCTGTAGCAGCATTGGTGTTCTCCTCGAATACTTCGTTGCCGGTTAGCTGGTAGTCAAGACCATCGCCGTGATCGTTCAAGAATTCCCGGATAAGATCGAAGTCTCCGAACTCTTGAGCGTCTTGGGCGTCTCGAGGAGCTTCAGGGGCTTCAGGGGCTTCAGGGGCTTTAGGGGCTTCGAGATCAAATGTAAACTCCCCAGCCGCAGTCGAAGCAACCAAACCAGTATCCTGGTTGGTAAGGTTCTGATCAACCTGGAAGCCGTCTCCAGCGTCAAGTCCGAGGTCAAGCGCGGAGCTGTCCGTCGGAGCATGGTTTTGGTCGGAGCTCAATCCAACTTCGTCGGAAAAGAAGCCGCCGGTAACTTCGTCCAGGTAACTGTCCCAAGAGGGCTCTAGAACCGGAACTGATGCAACCGATGCATCTAGGTTTCCGTTACCATTCGCCAAGGTAGGGTTCTCCTTCGTATCAACCTTGCACCTCTTCGAAGCTGGCTCGTTCGCCATCAGCTTGTATTCCTGTACCCCGGTGTGTTCCGTATCTCTAGCCGGAATGCCCACACTTGCTTCTTCATCAGATCGGGATCGCTTAAGAGTAGCACCACGAGCAGGGGTAGCACCACGAGCAGGAGCAGCTTCTAGTGCCCGCAATGCTGAGTTCTGTCCCATCGACGGCATCGGCTTCTTAGTCGTATTAGGCGTCGGAATAGGCTGTCTCGGAGCAGGCCGGGTGGTCTGAGGTATAATTCCTCCTCTGCCTTCTTGCCTAACAGGCTGATATCTGTTCGGAGCCGCCATCTGACCCGCTTGCCCGTGAACCGGCCGGGCCGGGGTCCCCATATTCATGGCTGTAGCCCCGTTCTGCTCTGCAGGGATACGTTGGTGGGTCATGCCCAAGGACTGCCTCTTTGACATGATTGAGTTCTGGAAGTTCCTCGCTGCTGCACTCACCGCGGGGTTATAATTTCCCCGTGTCGTGGCGCCGTTTCCATTTGTTCTGACCCCATTAGCCGACATGGTTGCTTCCCGTCTAGTGTTAATCGCAGACCAAGTGCCCCCTAGGGTCGAGGAAGCGGGAGCGTTGCGCACTGCTGTGCTTTGCTGAATTCCCTCACGGATGCCGGCTCGTAGAGGTACCGATGGTGTGGTTAGAGGGTGGGGGCTTTGCTGCTGAAGCAACGGACCAAACTGCGATGGTCGGCGGTGAGTGTTAGGAGTAGGAGGTGCAAGGGGTGTAGCAACGGATGTTCCATGGATACCGGCAGCTGGCTCTAAGCTTTGATACGATTTCGTTCCCATAGGAACAGCGGCCGGATTCGGGTAAGGAGTTACAGGTGTCGGCAGGTTTGCAGACGAAGTAGCGCCAGCATCAGCCGGCTCCTCGCTCACCTCCAAAAATCCCTTTCCATCACAATGGAGGCAGAGAATGCATTTGCTCTTTTTCGCTTGTGTAGTAGTTTGTGCCGGCTTCGGAGGGTTGTGGGTAGCCTTGGAGACACGGCTCTTCGTGGGGTCATGGTAGATGACATTTCCTTTACGGTTTCTAAAAGTAGATAACAGTTAATTATTTTATTTTATTTTTACCATACGCACATATCGTCGATAACTTACCCAAAGTCTGCACTGCTGCCAAAGTGTTCGGTGATGTACTTGATCTGAGCATATTTGACGGTGTTCTCAAAGTCCGGAAATCTTTGAGTGAACAGCTCAGCTGTCTCTTCGTACAGCGCCCTCTTCCTTCCTCGGGGAATTGGCTCCGTCGGAACTGTCCTCTCGAGGACGAACTCGATCATCTCATCGGAGTATCTGTAGCTCGTCGTCATGGTGCCTACAAGTTGCACTAGAATTTTGTGTTAACTGCGGATGAAATGTGAAATAGACTTATTTTTTAATTGGTGGAATGATCCCTAGTTGAGATGACGAACATACCTTTATTGTAGAATAAAATTTGTTGTAGTCGGATTTAATTAGGAGAGGTTTAAGTTGAGGGGTCGCAAGCAACGTTTTTGAGGCTTGTCTGGTAAAAAGTGACTTCCGTCGGTACTTGCCGCTCTGTGGTGAAGAAGAGAGGAACAAAAGGCGAAAACTCGTTGATTTTCTACTTCTTTAAATAATAATTAGTTTTTTTCCTCGGGTATGGTTTAGTAGTATATTCGACAGTAGTTGTCGAGGGTGGTTGTCGGGTTGAGAGTAGGTGTGCAGATTGAATTGTCAATCTGACTGGATAGGATAGGATGAATGTTCCTAGTGGGGAAATAGGAAAACAAAAGTTGAATGAATAAAATATGTAGTTTTAGAGGTAATTGTCGCGGGTTGAAATGCGGTGACGGGTCTCGAAATTTGCGAGAATACAAGCTGAATCTTGGAAACTTACGTGTATTTTAGAAGCAGTTTGTATTGTGAATATGTAAAGGATGGAGAGGGAAAATAGGTAGAATTTCCTTTAGAAACTTGAATGCGGATTTGAATTGTGCGCAAGTTGTTGGGAGTTGGTGGTTGCGAAGATTTTAAGGAATCAAGTGCACGAGCACCTTAGGTAGAGTACCTTAGGTCGAGCGGGTACCTTAGATAGAGTACCTTAGGAAGAGTACCTTAGGAAGAATTGAACACCCGTACCTGACGACGTTCAAACAATGTCACAATTCGAGGTACCGGCAATTTACAAACCCACTGTCGCATAACTTGATTAGATTCTATGCATTCTGGAACGTATGGCTGTATCGGTTATTCTGCAAAATCCCCATGACTCTATTTCTATAAGAGTTATCAAGACGGGCGATTCGAATTGCGTATTCTGTTCTCTACCGGTAGGGTACAAAAACCCATTACAGAAGAGTGCCACTTGCATAAACATATATGCTGGCGTGTTTAGTTGAGTCATAATCTTGCGAAGTTTATGGTAGTAGGAGTTTACGTAACCAGGAATTAGGGGTAGTCCGTAAACAAATCGAAATAATATCTGAGTGAATGTAACGGCCAGCCTACTTGGCGTATAATTTCCACGAGGGATAATCCTTCGCGAATATAAAATAACTATCTGTATAAAAGATACCCAGGCAAGGGGTCATAACAAGTGAATGGAGAAATATGCCAACTAGCTACCAGTAACAATACCTATCCCGGATACTTTCCCCGAGACATAATGCCTTCAAAAGCTCGTGTAGTCACGGATGGTTGTAGATGGATGTCCATAGGGTACCGGTAGAGTGACTAAATATTACGCCTTCAACCTCTCGCTTGAATTAGGTATGTCTCCTATTGAGAGGGAATCTGTGGCAATAATTATGTAATCTCTAGAATATCAACCTAGTAGATATTTACGAGGAGGCTAGTAAAAGTAATAGATGACCTAGGTGTCTAATTACACAATATCGTAGTTGTCCCTCGAGATTTACGCCCTTTTGGTTGTTACATGATCCACGTGACTTTGCCCGAGTTTACAAGGGATATTGTCTGGCTGATCTCAAATTCCAATTCCTAAAATGGAAGAATTCCTTGAGAAGGACGTTCGTCCGTGCGCAGCCTTTAAGCGTTTTTATTGGGTGCATCTTGTAAGAATAACGGGTCTTACCAGATTCCCCACTTTCGAAAAAAAAGTCAAAATACGTACTATTTCGAGCCCTCCTCCAAAATGCTGCTAAGGGGTGCTAAAGGGTATTAAGGTTCGAATCCCACGCTTTTTTCCTTTTTCCAAAAAATTTTTTTTTAAAGAAATTCCAGTAAAGGCTGGTATTCGAGTTTGTTGCCGGGCCGATTGGCGGGTGGCGGGCAGCGCGCGCAGCGCGCTAACCGCCCGCCAGTAACAATACGTAATTGATTTTTAGTTACGTCCTTTATAAACTCGGGCTATTGTAGTGCCCCACAGGGGTGCCCTCTTGTATCATAATATCCAATAAGGAAATATACGAATGAAATGGCTGTTCTGATTGGTTGATGATTCTGCTTGTGTACATGTAACTAAGAGAGAAGGAGAGGAATTAGGTACCTATGTGGGAGGGGCACGGCCCCAGCCCCAACGCACGTGTCACGCGAGCACGTGACTACTATCCCAACAATCAATATGTTGAACTAGGTTGAGAAAAGACCACAATCTTGATCAGCGAGTTCGATGAGTCCGATCAAATATATTGAAAAATGAGGCTTAGGTACCTGGTCGTATCGTGGGACTGACCTGGGAGCCCTTATAAAGCCACACCAGCCACATTTGTTTCCTACTACTACCCCTTAAGGGTATATATGTATGGCCCCATTTTTACCTGTTGGCTAGGCAAATAAAAATATTTTCTACCTGACTTGGATGGATGTCCCATAAATTGTATTTACCCAGGTTAGGTTAAGCTAGGTCCAAGTTAGGTTAAGCAATTAATTGACTCGTCGAACTAGCTGATCTTGATAGTAAATGGTGTAAAAGGAGGAAGCCAGCGAGCAAACTTTGTGGAGTAACTCAAATAGGGTTGGGTCAGCCCTGAGCCCTTGAATATCCCAAGATAAAACGGAGAACAATTTAACAACTAGTTGGCTTCAAGATTCTTGATCGTAGAAGATTTATGAGGACAAATTCAAAAGTCTTTCTGTAGTCTGGTACGGAATATATAGAATACTATGTAGAGGTAACGGCAAGCGACGTGCATATGCCAAGATATTAAATCGTGGGGAAGTGGAGAATTATATTAGTTGGAGAAAATACATGTAGGGACACAGTGTGACGAGCTACAGCTATAACTAGGGCTGCCAGGTTGGGGCAAGGAAATGCCGAATGCCAGGGGTCTGCGTAACCTTATGTGAACAAGAGGGCACCCCTGTGGGGCACCACAATAGCCCGAGTTTACAAAGGACGTAACTGAAAATCAATTACGTGCCGCTACGCGCGCCGCCCGCCCACCACCCGCCAACCGGCCCGACAACAACGGCAACAAACTCGAATACTAGCCTTTACTGGAATTTCTTTAAAAAAAAATTTGGAAAAAGGAAAAAAGCGTAGGATTCGAACCCCAATATCCTTTAGCAACCCTTAGCAACCCTTAGCACCCCCAGCACCCCTTAGCAACCCTCAACACCCCCCAATACCCCTTAACACCCCTTAACACTTTTAGCATCCTAAAAGAAGGCTCGAAACAGTACGTATTTCGACTTTTTTCTCGAAAGTGGGAAATCTGGTAAAACCCGTTTTTTTAGAAGATGCATCCAATAAAAACGCTTAAAAGCTGCGCACGGACGAACTTCCTTCTCAAGGAATTCTTCCATTTTAGGAATTTAAGATCAGCCAGACAATATCCCTCGTAAATTCGGGCAAATGATAACTGAGATTAGTTATCGCCGTTATCTTCACCTCATCCAAAGTTCGGTCGTCGACTGTCTTTGTGTTATCACCGGCCACGGCGGAAGTGACCGGCTGGATAGCCTCGTCCCTCTTAAAGTCTAGAGACATTATGTTGAACGACGAGTAGAGTTGAGATGGGCAATGCTGCTGGGACGAGTTTCAAAAGCTGCAGATATCTAATGCATATCCACTCCAAAAATATCCGATTCATTTCCAAGGCTTTATAGATGGGGTGAGCGTACGACTCCTCTCGGTAGCACTTGGAGCTTATCAGTCCAGGATTGGTGTCGCCAAACCCCAGATAGGCTCTGGGCCTAAAATACTGATTCCTTGTACGGCTCCATATCTCTCTTTCTTTGTGGGTGTTGCTTTTATCAGCTATTGAGAATCTTCAGCACTGAAAGGAACCTCCCCTGTCCTATATTTTGTCGGGATGAGCGAACTCATGTCTAACCCGCCCAAGCTATAAGTAGAATGCTATCCTACCTTCAAATCAACTTAGCTTTGTTCTAATCCACCGCCAGGATATTATCAATGGGGTTACTATTTCGGGAGAATCTGTCAAAGATGATTGGTTAAACTCGTATCGGAAGTGACCCGTCATTCGGACTAAAAATCCGGGAGGATGCTCGACGAGCGTCCGTCTCCGAAGTCTAGTTTCGACTATTTGCGCCGCACTGTGCTTACAATCATAGAAAAACCATTTGTCGGATTGGAGTATAGCTGGGAATTAAGGAGTTGATAATGGGGTTGGTTGATAATCGCAAAGTAACCGATCGATATTCCCCAAAGTTACACTGATGCATAGTTCAGCTGGAAACCGTCAGCTGATATGTCGAAAACTCGAAGGCAATTCGAAACGATGGTACAAGTTATCAGAGTCCTGTCACCGGAGCTCAACTCGCTTTCGGTGCCGGACCATATCCGATTCTTCGTCATGATGGTGTAGTTATATATCCATCCGAGCTCCCTCGAGCTTATCAGCATCTATGTATTTGTTACACAGAGCCACTCGCCAATCTCATATATACCCCTAGCCAAGATGGCCGTCGGATCGATACCCACGGCAGTACAGCCAAGAAGCGTGAAGTTCGCTATCGGTTAGTTAAACAAGGTCTCTTTCAAGATTTATAGCTAACTTCCCCCGCAAGACCGAGGTGGGAAGACATAGTCCTTAAGCTTTTATCTGTCGACCCCAGTAGTTATGATGATGCGCCGGCAGAAGGTATTCGCCGGGTCCTGGAGACCATCTCCGGCAAGGCGATTCCCAGAGACGCTCCAATTCCCAAAGACCTGATCCATTCTATTCGTATGGGAACAACAGTCGCTACAAATGGTGAGTCCCTCGCCCATTTTTTCTAAGGCCTAAATATTTATTTTATATAGCGTTGTTGGAACGGAAAGGAACGAGACATGCGTTCGTTGTCAATCAAGGCTTCGGTGACTTATTAGAAATTGGGTATCAGTCCAGACCCAAGCTATTTGAGCTTGGCATAAAAAACCAGAGTTGCTCTACGAGACAGTCGTTGAGGTATCTGAGCGCATCACAGTCGAAGAGTTCGACGAAGATGCCACAAGAGATAGTCGCCCTCCACGCCAGGAGATCCCTGGACCCTGGTGTCCTAGTAAAAGGCATCGCCGGCGATATCTTGCGCATCATTCGTCCCTTAAATGAGGTTGAAGTACGGGAAAAGCTAGCAAAAATCAAACCAGAGGGTATAGAGACGCTTGCTATCTGCTTAGCTCACTCGTATCTCTACCCGAACCACGAGAATCGCATTGCCGAAATCGCCAAGGAGATGGGCTTTACTCATATCTCGACGTCTTCTTCGGTCGGCGCAAACATGATCAAGATGATCTCGCGTGGTAGTTCCGCTTCTGCTGACGCATACCTCGCGCCGGAGATCATCCGCAGCTCGATATTAATACGGTAGCTGTCGGTGGCGGTTCTATGTTATTCTGGAGAGATGACTTATTCAAAGTCGGGCCTGATAGCGCGGGCGCTCACCCGGGACCGGCTTCGTATCGGAAAGGGGGGCCACTTACGGTATGCCATATTCCACATCACATCACACCTCCGTCTCACATAGCAATACGTCCCTAGAGAGTATAAAATAAGCCATAGCTTCATGACAACCCCGAAAATCTCAATTGATTTGAATATAAGAACAATCACTAACAATGAACTCAGGTTACCGATGCAAACCTATTCCTTGGGCGATTGATACCCGATTATTTCCCCAAGATCTTCGGTCCCAGTGAGAATCTTCCACTCGATATCGATATCGTGGTGTAGAAGTACGAGGAGCTCACAGCACAAATCAATGCGGACACTGGAAGTTCGATGACACCTCTCGAGGTTGCTCACGGCTTCATCGACGTAGCAAATGAGTCTATGAGCCGCCCCATTCGTGCGCTCACAGAGGCGAAAGGCTTCGAAACTCAGCAAAATGCACTTTCGACTTTGGCGGTGCCGGCGGTCAACATGCGTGTGAAATTGCAAAGAAGTTGAGTATCAAAAAGATAGTAATCCACAAGTACTCCAGTATTCTTTCAGCGTACGGTATGGCGCTAGCAGAAGTTGTCCAGGAGGCGCAAGAGCCGAGCTCTGAAATTCTGTCCGAAGAATCCCTGGGTCGGCTGATGGTTCGGATGTAGGACCTCAAGGCGAAGGTTACCGAAGGGCTGCTCGACCAAGGAATTCGAGAAGCGGCTATCGAACATGAACAATACCTAAACTTGAGATATCAAGGCACCGATACTAATTTCATGATCTTGGTTCCTGTTGACGGAGACTGGAGGGCGGCACTCGAAAGGGAACATCTAAGGGAGCTGTCATTCGTTTTCCCTCGTGATAAGAAAGTTCGCGTTGACGACGTACGAGTACGGGGTGTTGGGAAGAGCACTGAAGTTAGCCACGACAACTCGAAGCTGGTAAAGGAGTTGAAGTCTAATTTCTCAGAAGTCAAAGAGGGTGAAGATAGAATAGTAAGCTTGCCGTAAAACCCTAGGTTCGGCATCGAAATAAATGCCGATTGATGTGTCATTATGGATGTTGCTAACATTCGTTAGACACAAGCTTACTTTGCAGAAGGCGGGCTGCAACCGACGAAAGTCTTCCGACTCAACGCAATAGATCCGGGCAGCATCGTAGCCGACCCAACAATAATCATCGACAACACAACCAAACTATAGTGGCCGTTCCTGGATCCCAAGCACGAATCCTGAATTCTCACGTTATCATCAACCTAGTCGACGAAAAGCCTCAGCAGTCTCAGGAATAGCAAGAACTAGTAGTCGATCCCGTCAAGCTTAATATCTTCGGCCACCGGTTCATGAGTATCGCGGAGCAGATGGGAAGGGCACTTCAAAAGACTAGCGTTTCAATTAATATCAAGGAACGATTGGATTTTTCGTGCGCCATCTTCAGCCCGGATGGTCAGCTCGTTGCTAATGCACCTCACGTTCCTGTTCATCTAGGAAGCATGTCGTATGCCGTCAAGTATCAACATAACCTTCATAAAGGCAATTTACGTCCGGGAGACGTGCTGGTCACTAATCACCCGGAGGCTGGTGGTACTCATCTTCCAGGCAAGGCTCAAGGCCCTCATGGAAGAATATGGCAAGCACACCGTCCATTTCTACATGACCAGAATCCAAGAAAACGTCGAGGTCTCCGTTCGAAATTATCTCAAGTCTGCATATAAGAGATACGGATCAAAGCCGCTCAAGGCAAAGCAATTCTTGGATAATGGGTCCATGATGAAAGTCTCCATAACCATCGACGAGAGCGGATTCGGCACCTTCGATTTCACGGGCACATCCTGCGAGATGTTATCAAATATGAACGCGCCTCCGGCTATTACTTACTCAGCGTTAATCTACACGCTCCGACTCCTGATCGGCTCCGATATCCTGCTAAATCAGGGGCGGTGAGCCCGGCGCATGCGGTGCGAATTACTGGGTCCAGGGGCTGGAGGATGGGAGTGAACGGTGGATAAATATTGGGTCCAGGGGACAGGTCGATATGAAGGAGGGGGATAGGTGTGTTATACATACCCCTGGAGGAGGTGGCTGGGGCGTACCAGAGGGTGTTGGGGAGGGTGACGATGATTGGTTTGATGGGGGCGTCAGAGTGGTGAATGGTGTTAACGGAAATGGGATAAATGGGACGAATGGGGAGGCTCAAGTTGTGTATCCGAGGGCGGCAGGGAGCTTTCACACATTTGCGGCGGCTCAAGAGGCGTCGTCTTGAGTCATGGATGATTCATGATTAGGGAGACTTGAAGGTTGATATATGTCGTATATACTTTTATTTAGCTTTTAGTCAGGGTTGAATAGGAAAGATTGCTCTCTATCATGGTATCTTGATCCCTTGTATTGACGTTCTAAGAAGGCTAGGGAGCGACATTCCCTAATCCGCCGTCTATTATCCCTTTCTATCGATCTATCGAGTCTCTGTCAAATCTCTATAATTCTATGCATATAGGTTCAACCTTAGGGCAGTACGCTTGCCGCTAGTTGCTGTTACTGTCTCCCAAAAACAGCCCACCAGCATTCTATCCCCGAATCCTCACCGTCCTCGTCCCAGTCATCTTGGCCAACTAAGGTGCGCTGCTCCAGCACGCTTAGTCCGGAGACAATCATAATGGATAGGAATTTTGCAGCTAGTTTCTTGGTGGTCAAGTCTCGCTGAGGTACCATTACGATAGCCCTGGCGTCTTTGTCTTGGGCTAGGTGCGCAACTATCGCAGATGATAAGAGCTCTGGGTGGTCATCATCGTACAGAGGATCTGCAGCAAGAACAATCTACATGGAATTAGTCATTAAGAGTATATAGGGGAATAAGGTTGGTTTACTTTGAACTGGTTCTTGGAAGCAAATTGCTCGGCGTTGCCGTCCTCGGAGCCCCAAGTTAAAACACCCGAGTCAACTTTCCCTCCTAGAGCTTCGATAGTGGACCGATTTCTCTCGATATTGTAGGCTAAGTTCGGTACGATGGTTGGGAGGTCAGTCAAAACCACGTTAGTTTTCCAGATAGCAGCAGCAGCCATCCCCAAGAGCCCGGTACCCGAACCTAATTCAAGAACATCTAGAGATTGATTCGAAGTTCTCAATGTGAATATATGGGGGAGGGATTCTTTCGCAATGTCGCCTAGTGACCGTGCAAGCAGATATGAGGACCCCCAAGTTTTCAAGCCGAGAGAATCGCCGGTGATAGGAGGCTCCCTAATGACTAGCTCGAAAGGAGATGATACTTGGTCTTCAAGAGGCCATCTTCGCGTGATCTCTCCCATTCCCGCTCTACCACAGCGTTCTGCAAGACGCCGGCTTGCCTCATCCCATATCGCTTCCTTCTCGTCTTCATCCTGGATCCACGAGAGACTGCTCTTGATTATGCTAGACAGGTACGCAGCAGCCTCACGACGAAGCTGGGCAGTATTTTGGTAGCTCTCTAGTATAACTTTTCTAGAAGTACCAGGATTCCAGATCGGAGGTTCAACCTAGTTCATAGTGAGCATTCACTGGCCTCTTAGGTAGACATTGTTACCCGTCAGTTTTACCTGAAGCTGTTTGAGAGCTGCCAGTAGTTCCTCGGACGAGGGCTTCTGCCAGGGCTGGGGAAGGTCTGCTACGCAGATCGACATTCTATTCTATTGATCGCGGATAATACCGTCTATAGGATTCTAAAGGGGAAAGAAAAAAACCACAAAGAGAAAACGAACTAGGTAAAGCAACAACGTAAGAAAATGAATGACTCGGCCCTATCACCTGAAGAAAGACATTATGATAATTCTATGGAGATGGTTAGTTGACATGCTCTATAAGATTTAGCTTTATATCGTCTAGGAGAAGTAATGGGAAGATGAGTAAAATTTCAATTATGTACTGGGAATGGCATATAATGGATGAGTCTAGCCAGACACGCCTACGATAACACGACTACCAATTAGGGACAAACGGGGCTTTTCTGACCAAGCCCTTCGTTGGAAAGGGAAAGAGACATTGGGAAGAAAAGATAAGCCACGTCTGGACCCTTAAATGATTCAGCCAATTGGAAGGTTAAGAGCAAGTTCTCATGAGTCAAGAGCTTAAAGTACCTAGGTACAATACGCAGTAAGGTTAGATTACCTAAGGCTTGACTACCTAGTTTTAGCCGTTTTAATTGGCTGTCTGCTAGCTTTATCGATAAGCCCACCATAATTTTGCTATGACTCGAAAAAGCAGCCCGCCGAAATTCATTCTTGCTTTCTTTTCTTTCCTCAAGCATCGCCCTCACCAACGCTGCGTTTCTGAGCTACAAAACAGAGAAGCCGCGCGAGCTGCTTCTCATCGGCTTCTGTTCTTCAGACCGATATTCACCCGCTCATGAGAAATTCGGAGTATTCTTCATCACCACCTCGTCGCCTGCCTAGCTGCGGGATCGACAGGTCTGCCCGCGAGGGTCTGGCGTGATGGGTTTTTCTTTTGAAAACTACACGTCTGCAAGACTGGCATCAGAGACGCAGGGCCCTTCGCCCCGTGTATATCCGCAAGGAGAAGACGGGGGAGTTGTGGTTCCTATGGGAGAGCCGTTGCGGAGATTGTGTGTGAGAACACTTGAGTGCGATACGCAGCGTGGGATTGTCTGTTTCCTTCGGGAGACGGACGCCTACAATTCGATTCCGATTACTCTGGTGAGGGCGATGCTTCAATCTTTTTTTCTTCAAGGTTAGTCCTGTACTAATGCCAATTTTGCATTCCCTTAAGTTTGAGGATACTGCTAACGATACGTCATATTATAATGGTGAAATAATCGCCTCAGCAGAATCGAGATTGAGGAGCCTTTCAGCTATTCGTCTAGGTCTATCCTAACGTTGCACTCTGACCCTCATCATCATTACCATCCCCATATGTCTCTTGATCGGGTATTCCCTGTTCCTGATATGTTGGTTCGGCTGTGACTGGATCGGTATCTTCGCCTTCGCCTTCGCACGAGATCTTCATAGTTTCTCTCTTATCATACCGATGTAAGACCTTGGCGTCTGGACTTCTCGCATCTACCAGCTTCTCCAAGTCCGACGCCTGCGTGACCAGATCTGCACAAGCAATATTACTAAACGTGGACTTCCCAGCCAATAGTAGAACACGATCTCCAGTTACCTGAATCTTCTCTAAGGCGAGGTGCCGAGGATCGTGATCAGAGGGGCCACCCAACGGATGAGATTGAATGAATGCCTTTGCGGCCTCCTTGACCTGATCCATACATGTCTCCAGCTTCATCTTCTGAATGATGAACTGTTCGTCATCTTGATTCTCGCCATTCTTGTACTTGCTGTTGTGTTCGGTCCTCTTCTGCCATATTCGCTGAAGGACATCATCGTTAACGTAGTACTTAACCGCCTTCACTTCTGCTTCGAACTCGTCCTGAAATGCAATCCAGAATCTCTTGCTCTCTTTAATCTGAAACGCCAACTGCCTGGTAGCGAGCGATACTTTCAACTCCGCGTTAATAGCCGTGGTAGTCTCGTCCTTGGGGGCCGTCGGGGCCGCCGGGGCGGGAGTGACTGGACGGCTCCCTCCCAGGGCTTTACCTCCTGACCTCGATGACGACTTCAACCGCGTTATTGGTCGATCATCAGCGGGCGTTCCATGGTGATCATCTGAATCATTGCCGTGATAGCCACATGGGTGTTGGAAGTACGTAGTTCCGTTTGGGCTATACAACTCTGATTTCGACGAATGTGGACGGGAGAAGGAAATAGGCGTACTGTCTATGTGTACTCCCCCTCGTCGATTATAGGAGGACCGCCGTGACTCTCCATCGTCAATGTCGCTTCTCCCCATGATGTATTTAGGAACGATACCATTTCACGTTGCGGAAATTTACTGTATCCAATGAGCTTCCAAGGCGATCCTCCTCCATTTTATAGCTTGGAGGTTTGCTAAAAGGTGCTAGCGCTAGGTCTATAATACATACAATATGATGCTTGTTATTTGTTTATACACTGCACTTACTTATGTATATTTCTAACAAGCGGTTCAGAAACATGCGCCGCGAGCTTTACGCATAATATCAACATTCTTATAGTTGATTGCTATTTGACAATTCAACAATGAGGGGAATTGACCAATATGTGGTGTAGAATCTAACTGACCACTGATGATCTTATTCCTCTGTTAGTGTACATACTGGTGCTTATCCGTGGGGAAATCCAGGCATATTTCACGATCCCGATCTCCACAGTTCGCAATAGCGTGGTCCTATTGAAATCGTAGTACTTCATATACGATTTCATATACGATTTGGACTCTATCCAATCGTCAGCAAGTAGAATTATTATTATTGTTATTTCCAATGTTTCAAAAATAGCCCTGCCAAGCACGGGATACGAGAAAGCGGTTTTGTATGACATGTCAAATGTCGATATACGTAAGGGTACTTCAAACCTACTTGAGATGGTCCAAGCGCGCGCCCTAGTCCATCCCGACAGTTTGGCTCGGTTGATCCCCACACTTAACCGTATTTGGCAAAGCGATTTCACCAGTTGGCGGTTTGCGGCGCTGACGCTGACGCTGACGGGGCGCACACCCTGACACCTGAAACGAAACGAGGCGCCGCAAGACATGGGGCTGAGGTACACAGTAGATCCTACGGCTCTTACGGCAACCTTTGATAGGTCGGGAACTGAGGCTGAGGCTATGCTAAGGCATAAGGCATAACTTTATCGGAATATCGGCAGCGAAAAATTAGTCTTGGGTCTTGGGTCTTGGTCTTGGTCGAGTGCTTGAGCCTCAAGATGTAATTCGCAATGTCGCATTACTAGGTTGGTAGACTTACCTGATATCGCAGTTGCGCATTATAATAAATACACTACACCGCCAAGCCGAAAGCCTCCCTCTCACCGAAATAAACGATTCACTCACCGATAGGAACGCCCAACACGCATTGTTGTTTTGTTTGTTGAAACGATGCTACCTAACCCAACCGGTTCGTGACGAGGTTATTCCGGTATCACATCTGCGATAGGCCGGTAACGGGACCATGGCACACTTGACCCAGGTGCTCGGGTTTGTGTCTGTCGTCTGTTTGGTCGGTATAGGCGGGGAGGGGTAAGGGGGTGGAGTATGTGGGAAAGGGGGTGATTATAGGACTATTTGCTTGTAACTGCAAGCGTCCTGATGTTTGTATAACTATGCCTGATATGTGATATGCCTGATATGTGTTGCTCTGTTAGCATAGATGCCTTATAATACATATTGGCACACACACACATACATTATTATTACACTTGCAGACGTTGGCCGTGGAATCATAGGTTGATTTCTAACCCGGAGAGTTGGATCTCCCGATTTACATCCCTATCACCTATCATTCTTCTCCGCATTTTTAGACTTGCCGTTTTTGATACCCAAAAAACCATGTGTGCTACAAGCTCATCGTCCAACTACCCCCAAGCCTTATTAATTAAGTCTTCTAACGGTAAAGTAATCAATCAGAAAGACACAACGGTATACACGCGGAACGCATCAGAGAAATAACAGCCAATATTCTCATCGCCTTGGATGACTTTGTATTACACACACCGAAGACTGGCTTTATCTGCGTACATAGTACGGAATCAGGTAGGCATACACGTATACGATGTACAACAAGAACAGCTCCATAAACTGCCAGGCTGATATGTAGGTGCAATGAACCGCGTCATCTGTGTAAATCTCATCTTTCACCCCCTTTCTCACCCCCTATTCAATTTGCACAGACACTTCTCGGCCGGCGGGAGGGGGGGAATTACGCGTGTGTAGGTATACACAGTCAACGTCAGCGCTCAGGTGCTACGCTGCATCCGCGGTAGCCTTCATTACCTTTTAAATGCCTTTTCCTCTTGCCGTTTGCCGTTTGCCGTCTACGCGCATACATCCAAGGGGTACGTCTGCAATGTCTACGTTACCTAAGGTATCTAGGCGTGTATATATCATCCCCACCCTGACTTATACCAGCCCGCACTATTAGTCGCACATGTCGATACGTTTACAACCACACGTGCATACGAATATACCAGCTTGGTCAAAATACCATTTCTTATTATGGTGTCTTTGAAAATTATAAAAATTCAAAAAATTCATTCCGTATGGTTCTCATACTACATTACAGAGAGCTGTCTGCTAGCTACCCAACCTATTCGTTGTGTCTGCCCTCTGTCTGTATGCGCTGTTGTGCGTAACTCAAATGCATCAAATTGCAAATTCCTATACTTGGGAGTATCATGTCGTCCCGACCAACGCGTCAAGGGAAGTGTCAAATATCCGCGCCGCTTTTGGGTTGTCCTATGCCCCATGTCCCGAATGCCGGTAACCAGTAAAATCCATATGCTGTTCCCTGGGCCAATAAATGCCAGATCCCGATATTAGGGAAAAAAAGAGGAGAAAATCAAAACGTCATCCAGATGCAAGTGCCAAACTTCGCTGAAAATGGGAATGTCCATCCTGAGTAATTGTAAAGAGGAAAAAAAAAAAAAAAAAACCATCAGATAACCGCCACCTCTCCAAACGCTTGCATTCATCGTAGTTGATATAAGGCGATCTCCCTAGAAAATCCACTTTGCCCTTTTTGGCTCTCTTTGCTCCACGTCCAGTAAGTCCTTAATTTGACTTCGCATAATCCTGATTGGCTCATCTCTCCCGATCGATATGTCCACGCTGGACAAGACTCGTAAACGCGGTATTAGTATGACGCCACCGCTTGCGAGATCTCCGTCTTCATGACTGAAAGTCGCTCTCGCATATCAATCAGATCCGCCAGCTTATCCTCCGGCGGCTCCTTTAGGGCCGCAATTTCGTAGTGCAACGCCTCATATCGCTCGTAAAATCTCGTGAACTTCTTTGCCTTTATCAAGACATCAGGCGGCAAGCGCGGCTTCTTGTTCGGGGCAGACTGCTGCGAGGAATACTGATCGGCATCCCGTTCCTTGCGCTTCTTGGTCTGGTTCAAGGCCATAGAACTGCCGTTTACCGCTCCGTTCGTAGTACGCTCCTCGTTACGGACCGGGGGCTTCAGCTGGCGCGGAGGCGGCTGATGATCTTCGAGGTCGGAAGCGTTCGTCGGTGGCGAGGAAGCAAGTGGCGATGACTTAGTGGGTGACGTATTCTTGCTTCGCATCGAGATATTTGAAGACGTCACTCCCGCGGGAGCATTTCTTGAGCTCTGGCTTGCGTCTGACGGGCGGTGCTTTAGAGTCGTGACGTTGGATAACGGCTTAGGAGGCTCCTTCGGCTTGATTCGCTTGCTAAGCGGTGCCCCCGAGCTCGAGCTGCTATCATCATCTTCACGTGGCCGTTTCTGAGAGGTCAAGCCGGAAGGTTTCACGGGAGCGCGGGGTGCTCGAACCACGGGCTTCGCTTTCGGTGGAGCAGGTTTCTCCTTGGGCTTCTCTACCACTCTCTCCACCGGTTTCTCCACTGGCTTCTCGGTTCGTCTCTCAACAGGCTTCTCGACGGGTTTCTCGAAAGGCTTTTCAATAGGTCTCTCCACCGGTTTTTCGGCAGGCTTCTTGATAGGTCTTTCGATAGGCTTCAACGATGATTGGTTCGAGCTAGCTCTCGATAGTGGCCTCTCATCCCCACTACTTTCGGAGTCGATCACTTTCTCATCCGAAAGGAATTTCCTGCCCTTTTCTTCGGTTGGCTTAGGCTTGCTGGCCGGCTTTTTCGGAGCAGGTTTCTTAGGGTTGCTTGAGAATAAGCGCTTCGTCTGCGCTTCGCGTTCGCTGACCTTCTTCGTCTTGCTTCCCAGTGGTTGCGAATTGGATCGAGCCATAGCTTCGCCCTTTGCCTTGTTATCGATATCGCTCTTGTTGCCATCATCCGCCTTCTTCGCGCCAACTCGAGGAGTCGGGGTTACGTTTCCCTTTGCAAGAGTTACCTGTAGCTTGCTCAAAACGATACCCTTGCCCCGCTCGGAAGGAGTAAGCAATTTCTCCCACTCGACTGCAGATGTTGGAAGGCGTGACTTGTCGTATTGCCTAATGGCATTGTCAATTGCTGCACGGCGATCTTCCTCATTGCGATAATCGTGGTTCCATACGTCCAGCTCTTTCCAGAACACCAGTCGTAGACTATACTTCTTCGTCGAGGAGTCAAAATTAGCGATCTTCTCCAAAGTTCGCTTAAGGTCTGCTTCGGTGCCCTTCCAAATCTCTGCGAGATATTCGTATGTTCGATCCTTCGACGCTAGTTCGTGAACAATAATGCTCCTTTGGTTCCTATTCTTCTCAATTATCTGCTGCGAGGCGGAAAAGGCTGGATTCGGCGAAGAAATCCCGTTGAGCGCAGGACTCGTAGGTAGTGATCTGGTGGAAGAATTCGACAATGCGCCCGCCATGGCGGACCTTCCAGCAGGTAGAGGCTTGGGTTTGGTGACTCGTTTAGTATCTTTAGTTTTGGTGTTGGTGGACCTGTTCGCCAGGATACTGGCGGGTGGCTTGCTGAGAATACACATGGTGGGATTTGGTAATCGTTGTGATTTGCTTGCCGATTCTTCTGGTTTCGTAAGATACAAGTCGTAATTGTATGACTGCGGATTTGCTTTGACTTTTTGTTCCCCGAAACCAAAGAATAAGGACTGTAAATAGAGAATTGCGTTAGTTCAATAGTTAAGGTATTTAATCGAGGAATCGTGCAAATTTGCGTGGGTATGTGCACATAATTTTTTTTTTTGTTGCTGCTGCCTTGGATTGGGAAAGTGCGGGAAGGTGTTGTGGGAAGGTGTTGCGCTGCGCGGACCTGAGGTATTCGGGTAGAGGGCATTCAAAGTAACTGATTTAGTGCACCTCATGACCATTTCCCGCTTATCAAAAATAAAAATGGCAAGAACTAAAGCAAAAAACTAAGTACAGTAGCAAACTTACAGGATTGCTTCCTAAGGTCAATTCAACCTCTTGCCCTCCTTGTACACATTTTATCATGTCCTCGATCACGCTATCATTCAATGTGATGC